AGATGATATGTTCTTATATTAATATCTAGAAAAACCTAAAGACTCCACACACAAAAAAATCCACATTAGAACTGATAAACCAATTCAGTAAATTTGCAGAATACAAAATCAACATACAAAAATCAGTAGCATTTTTATATGCCAACAGTTAGCAATCAGCAAAGAAATGAAGAAAGTAATCCCATTTATAGTAACTACAAATGAAATAAAATACCTAGGAATAAACCTAACCAATAAAATAAAATATCTTTATAGTGAAAATTATAAAATATTAATAAACAAAATTGAAGAGGACACACAAAAAAATGGAGAGATATTCCATGCTCCTGGATTGGAGAAATCAATATCATTAAAATGTCCATATTACGCAAAGCAATCTACATATTCAAAGCAATCACTATCAAAATACCAATGACATTCTTCACAGAAATGTAAAAAATAATCCTAAAATTTATATGGAGCCACAAAAGACCCAGAATAGCCAAAACCTTCCTGAGCAAAAAGAACAAAACTGGAAGAATCACATTACCTGACTTCAAATTATACTATAAAGCTGTAGTGACCAAAACAGCATAGTACTTGCATAAAAACAGACACATAGACCAATGTGTCTCAATAGAGAACCTAGAAATAAATCCACACATCTACAGTGAACTTACCTTTGACAAAGCTACCAAGAATGTACAGTGGGGAAAGGACAGTCTCTTCAATAAATGGTGCTGGGAAAACTGAAGGTCCACATGCAGAAAAATGAAACTAGACCCTAATCTCTTGCCATATAGAAAACTCAAATCAAAAGGGATTAAAGACTTAAATATAAGACTTGAAACTATGAAACCACTAAAAGAAAACATTGAGGAAATGCTTCAAGACATTGGTCTGGGCAAGGATTTCTTGAGTAATACCCCCTAAGCACAGGAAACCAAAGTAAAATTAGACAAATGGGATCACATCAAGCTAAAAAGCTTCTGTACAGTAAAGGAAACAATCAACAAAGTGAAGAGACAACCCACAGAATGTCAGAAAATATTTGCAAACTACCCTTCTGACAAGGGATTAATAACTAGAATATATAAAGAATTCCAACAACTCAATAGGAAAAAAATCAAATAATCTGATTAAAATATGGGAAAAGAATCTGAATAGACATATCTCAAAAGAAGACATACAAATGGCTAATTTGTATATGAAAAAATGCTCAACATCATTAGTCATCAGAGAAACACACAACAAAACTACAATTAGATATCATCTCACTCCAGTTAAAATGGCGTTTATCAAAAAGACAGGCAATAGCAAATACCAAAGAGGATCTGGAGAAATGGGAACCCTTGTATGCTCTTTTTGGGAATGTAAATTAATGCAACCACTATGGAGAGCAGTATGGAAAGTCCTTATAAAACTGAAAATAGAACTACCATATGACCCAGCAATCCCACTGCTGGGTAAATATCCAAAGGAGAGGAAATCAGTATATTGAAAAGATACCTGCACTCTCATGTTTATTGCAGCACTAGTCACCACAGCCAAGATTTGGAATCAACCTAAGTGTCCATCAACAGATGAATGGATAAAAAATTGTGGTACATATACACAATGGAATATTACATAGCCAAAAGAAGGAATGAAATGCTGCCATTTGTAACAACATGAATGGAACTGGAGTACACTATGTTAAGTGAAATAAGGCAACCACGGAAAGACAAATCTCCCATGTTCTCATGCATATGTGGGAGCTAAATATTAAAAACACTTGATCTTAAGGACACAGAGAGTAGAAAGACATCTCCAGAGGGTGGGAAGGGTAGCAGGGAGTGGGGAATAAAAAGTGGGTATGGTTAATGGGTGCAAAAATATAGCTAGACAATTAGATTTGATAGGACAACAAATGACTGTTAATGAAAATAAGCTAGAATATGATTTAAAATAACTAAAAGAGTAGAACTGGTAAGTTCCTAACACAAAGAAATGATAAAACATCTTCATCCTGAGGTGAAGGATACCCGAATAACCTTGATTTGATTAATTCACATTGTATGTCTGTATCAAAACATCACATGTACTGTATAAAGATATACAACTATTATGTACCCATAATAATTAAAAAGAAAAATTATATATAGTAAAAAAAAAAATTATACCAGAGTTGCTGTACCAAGACTAGTCACACAAATCCTTTTCCTTCCATTAAACAAAGCCTTGCAAACACTGATTTTTGTCTTTTGTTTAACAGAGAACAAGGCCAGGAGCCTGGCTGGTAAGAAATTCTTACCCTTTTTGCCAGCTGGCCAGGTTCTTGGATTTTCTCTACTGTAGCTTTTCAGAAGAAACAGAGTGGCTTTAAACCATAGGGAGCAAAGGCCCTTTCCCACATAAGGTTCTCTGAAAAATCAGACATGAGGTAGATTGATTCACTGGGAAAAAAAATCATTTAAATTAATTTTTAACATGTATACACAGGAGCCTTTAAAATGAAACTTAATTCCTCAATGAAGTACAGAGGGGTTTTATGGTTTGTTTTTTCTTTTGTTTTGTTTTTTGTTTTTGTTTCTTTTAAGAATGGGGGTTTAGACGTACCAAAACAGGTTTGCAGGAGAGAAAAGAGGCTAGCCAAGGTGGTCTTGTTATGCAGGTAAAGCCTCACAGTTAGTAGTCCTCACAGAGAGGAGGTAGTAAATTTTTTTTAATCCCTTTAAAGGTGTTAGTCTCCCACTTATTCTTTCCTAGATTGGGTAAATAAAGTCCTGGCTGTATTAATAGAGATCCTCTACAGATGTAAATTTTCTCCCACAGATGAGAGCTTTGTAGCATTATTTCTTTGCCAGCCACCTCAGAATATGCCAAAGAAATATATTTCAGGGTAAAATACTATAAGTTTTCTAACTGGCTGATGTACAGCCACTGTGGGGGTTTTAGTCAATTTTAGAGGCCTCATTTCCCATAATCTAGACCTCCTGTCAGTTTTGACCAAGAATTGGTCAAATCCAATGTAAGACAGAGTAAAACCAAAAACAGAAGAAATGTATTGCAGGTAATACATTGTTGAGATCTCTAAGTATAAATGGAAATTACAGCCAGCTAACAATAAATCTTACCTTCAGCTAGAAATGTCTAAAAGGAAACCTCAGATCAGCTCCTTACCTAGAGATGGGGCCCAAGCTAAACCTACTCTCTATCATCTAGCAAGCAGGGAAACTTGCTTTCCTTATTGGAAGCGAGCAAAACTCCTTGGAGGAGTTTTCCAGCAAAATAAACCTTGAATCTCAAGTCAAAAATTTGGGAAGATTGAGGAAACCCAGGAGACAGCTGCATTTTGGCCTTGACAAAACTAACAATCTGTTAGAGTAAATCTCTAGCTGCTACCTTAGCCCTGATGGGAGAAATCACTATAAGTCAAAAGGGGCTCTACTCCAGGGTGTCCACTCATGCGGTTGTCAACTCAAAATAAGTGACTGGTGCATACTCTGAAGAAAAATATATGCATTGAAGACATTAGAGATATCAGAAGAGGCCTCTTTGGACTAGACTCAAACCTGGGCTTTGGTTCCCCACTCCCACTCTTCACTGTGAGGATCAGTACTTCAGTGCATCCTGTCAATGGACAAAAAGACAAACTCTGGAAGATAACTTAAGGAGGTTTATTCTGAGCCAAATTTGAGAACCATGACCTGGAGCCACGCCCAGGAAGCCTTGAGCAAGTGGGCTCGCTGTGGCTGGGTTACAGTTTGATTTTATACATTTCGGGGAGACAGGAATTACAGGGAAAGCCACAAATCAATACATGGAAAGCCTACATTGGTTTGGCCCAAAAAGATGGGACACCTCAAAGCAGGGGCTTACAAGTCATAGGTGGGTTTAGGGATACTTTGGTTGACAACTGGCTGAAAAGAATTAGATGCTTTGTCCAAAAGATGCTTTGTCCAAAAGACCAGGAATTGGTGAAAAGAATGCTTGAGTTCAGATAAGGGTCTTCTGTCTTTCATGTGATGCTATACCAGAATCATGTTGGGAAGTAAACATCATAAAAACCTGTTTATTGAGATTTATCATTTGTAGGCATGACTCACCAGGCTCCCTTAGAAAGGATATTTTATGGAGGAACAAAGAAAAAGATCAGAGTTCAGTCCTCATAACCCATTTCTTGCTTTCATGTGTATTACAAATGTTCTGAAACCTTGACGAACAGAAACTGTGTTTTGGGCAGAGTAAGAAAAAATGGGACTAACACAATATATGAAAGATTTAGAGAAAATGCTCCATTCATAGATTTGAAAACAATGAATTAGTTTGCCACAATATGTGTATATATCTGTATGTGTGTATTATAACAAGTTCCATACGTGCTTGTGCAGCTTTTATAACTGAGAATTGTTACTAACCAAATAAATATCATTTGGAAGTCTAATGATTTACATTTTTACTATACTTATTTAGTTTTGTAAATTTTGAATAACAAATCATTATTTTGACTTTTTATGTCAGCCCATGAGTGAAGACAGCAATGGTTAACATAAACAGTAACAACTAAAATATTCAAAATTTATAAGATTGAAATAAGTTTAAAGTTAAGTTCTACTTCTGAGTTGAAGAAAGTAGAAAGCTTATTTTGTGGGAAAATTATGAAGAAAAAGGAGATTTTTTTTTTCTTTTTTTTTATGGCAAAGACTGGAGAACAAGAAAAAGGAGATTTTGAGAGTGAAAATCCCTACAAAATAACCAAAATTCCTGAGAGAATTTCAGACTTTCAAAGGCTATGAAATTGGTGGGTTCAAACCAAGATCTCCAGGAGATCCAAGGAAGCAGGTAATATCTGGGTTGCAGAGGGAAAGAAGAGGAAATTGACTGAGATCTCTCTCTGACAGGTTGAGCAGGTGGAGTCTGAAGGAGGATCCAGAAGGCCCAGGGGGTGGAGGGATCTGCAGAACAGGGTGGGTGGGGAGGGGCTGTGGTTCAGCCTCCTCCCCACATCATCAACCCCACCCTCAGGAGCCCTTTGTGATGAGGGGTCACAGCTCTGTGATGCAGGCCTGGGCCCTAGTCAACTGGCCCAAAGGCAACGTCCAGGGCTCAGCTGCTTTAGGGCAACAGGGCAATTCAAAAAAGATGGAGAATTATCCGTTTCCTCTGAGTAGCGCTAGTGATACATGGCTGAACCCCAGTTCCACCTCCTGGATGATAGATCTCATCCTGGGCATCCTGTGTGGACTGGGGCTCTTCCTGCTGTTACTCCCCTGCCTTGGGAGCAACCCATCCTCGCCACCGGCTGGGCAGAAAAGAAAAATCAGGAAGGTAAGGAACTCTCAGCCCAGACCTAACAGAGAATGAGTCTCTCTTTTCTTTCTATTATTATTTCCACTTTTCCAAATTGACTAGAGATTCCCAAGATGGGAAATTTCCTTGTCCTTCTAGGCCCAGGCGGGGCAGGAAGGGGTTAGAGTAGTATAGCATTTCTAGACTAAGCTCTCAGACACCTGTGTGGGTGAAGAGGAGGCATCAGGGAAAAGTCAAATGCCAGGACTAAGGAGCCAGGAGGAGGCTATGAAAGGCTTGAGATCTGTGTGCGAGGACAGCCCTCAGCCCTGGTTCATCAGTCATCAGTTGCCTTCCCATGGCCAGTACCTCTAGCCCAGCCCATCTGTGTCTGGTGATCTGAGGCCTGTGCTGAGCCTCCCATCAGAGGCTGCTCAACTCTGACCTCTTTGAGAAGCAGAATCCTGCCTGACAGCTCAGAGGCACCTGTAGATTTGAGTCTTGAGTGCCTCAAACAGAGGAACAGTGACTGAAGACACCCATGGTGGATCTCATGTCAAAAATCCCTCTTGGCATTTTTTCAAAGAAGGAAAACAAACAATATTTTTATCCACTTTAAAAATGAGTAAAAGGAAAGAAAAGAAGACAGAGCTCCATTAACTAGCTGTAGAAGGTCATGTCCTCCATAAGGACTAAATGCCTGCAGCGTGTCTAGGGGGAGGTGAGTGAGGACTGGTCCCAGCCCCTCAATCTTTCCTCTCTCTCAGGATCCAGTGGAGAAGAGGAGGCGGCCCAGGAGCAGGAAGAAGGGCTGCCCTCTAAAAGGTAGGGTTCTGCTTCTGCCTCTCCACCCAGAGCCCCTGGGGGGGGATTTAGCTTCATTGTCCTGAGGAATGAGTCTCCCAGGAGGTACATTGCAGGCCTGAGGTGGGTGGGGGTGGCATCCAGGGAAGGAAATCAGAACCCAGGATTCTCCTCAGATCCCAGGATGGGCATGAAGCCAGGTGGGCCAAGAATGGGTCCTGCCCAGTAGGGGCCTGGATGTGGAGGTGGGCCCTGGAGGCCCAACTGTGGACAGCTACTCAGCCTGGCTAAGGCTGGTTCCTCTTTGAGCAACCCCTGTCTGCTCCCCCACAGGGTGGGTGTGAGGACCCTGTGGGATGGATATGGGAGCACTGTGTACATGATAAAGTGCTGCACACCAAGCTTCCTGCTGTCCCTCTCAGGGTCACCTGGCCTTGAGCCCTGATGCATGGGCTCTAGGGTCTAATCCCCCATGGTCTGCCCTAGAGGGACACTCAGCCTCTGGTAAGATCCTCAGGCCCCTCCCTTCCCCATCCTAACCCTGCTCCTAATTTCCAGTTTGCAGAGACTGCCTGAGGGAACTGGAGGGGGCTCGGGACCTGATTTTGCTTCTGCAGAGGTGAGGAACTCTCCCCTTCTCTCTCCTTCTCCTCCTTCCTATCAGGACCTGGGACCGACTCTGAGGCCTGAGGCTGACCTGGGAGGGGGAGATCATGGGATGGGAACAGGATGTGGCTAGAGCCCTGGGACCAGGGAGAGACAGAGCTTTGTGAAGTCAGCATGGGGGCAGTGGAGGGCCCTGGGCCACACCCTGGCCCCACCCACCCCTGCTGCAGCTTGTGCCTCCTGTCTTCTGCAGCCACCTTGAAAAGCTCTGTGAAAAAAGGAGCTTTTACCAGCTCTCATGTGCAGATCCCCCAGGGAAAGTGTGCAAACCAGCACCTGCCAGAGCCCACCGGCCACCTGGGGAATGTGCGGAAGATGCTTCTCCTGCCACCTTGTCCCCATTGGCATCCCTGGCTCCCCTGGCCCAGCGGCCTTCACCTCTGGCCTCCACCCTGCCAGTACAGCCTCAAGAAGACCAGTCTGACTTGATGAGAATCCCCCCAGGCACCATCCCAGAGAGCTCACCTCCAGGTTACTCTTGTTCGGTGCCTCCTGTCTTGGCCACCTTAGGCCTTGAACGCACCATTTTGTTCCTTTCCTGGTGGTGGGCAGCCGCCAAGGCCCTTTTCTTTCCCACCTCACCACACAGCAAATCCCAGAAAGAGCCTCTTTTCCACCATCCACCAGAGGCTTGGTTCTGGGGAGACCCCACACACAGGCAGATAGAGGACGGTGGCTCTGTTTTCCTCAAGCCTGGTGTCCGGAAGCTCCTGGAAATACTCATTACCAAGAGAGCAGGACTGAAGCTGTGGAAAGACAAAGAAAAGGAGAGGTCATTTCTGAAACAAGTGAGCCCCGATTACTCCCAGGGTTCTCTGGGGAATGTGGTAAATTCACCAAGCTGGGAGTGGGACACCACAACTCCACACCCCTTTGGGGACATGAAAGACAAACCAGAGCAGCTTCCAGCTCCTCAGCAGCTCTCCCATCCAGCCATGGGGGACCACTTACAGCAGAAATGCAGGCAGCTCTTCTGGGGCCTCCCCTCTCTGCACAGTGAGTCCTTGGTAGCTGCTGCCTGGGTCTCTAGGAGGCCTTCTACAAAACCACCACGTCGCTCTGTTTCATTCAACATAGTCCCTGACTATTTTCCAGTTGAAGATTGGAGTGAAGAACCTTCACAGCCTCCCCAGGACCAGCCTGATTATGAGCCCCTGGATTACGAGCCCCAGCCTTTGCCTCAAACCTGGCCCAAGCCCCAGCCCCAGCCTTTGCCTCAAACCTGGCCCAAGCCCCACCCCCAGCCTTTGCCTCAAACCTGGCCCAAGCCCCAGCCCCAGCCTTTGCCTCAAACCTGGCCCAAGCCCCAGCCCCAGCCTTTGCCTCAAACCTGGCCCGAGCCCCAGCCCCAGCCCCAGCCTTTGCCTCAAACCTGGCCCGAGCCCCAGCCTTTGCCTCAAACCTGGCCCGAGCCCCAGCCCCAGCCCCAGCCTTTGCCTCAAACCTGGCCCGAGCCCCAGCCCCAGCCCCCACCTTTGGATGAGATCCACACCGAAGTCCCTCCCTCTCCTGCTCCCCCAGACGTACCATATTGTTCCCCACCCGAGAGTAAAGGGGACCCTACAGGAAGCTGTAGAACAACTTGCCCTGTGTCCCAGGAGAAGGCACAATTCATCCCAACTGAAAGTGACCATCTGGAATGGCCCTTACAGAAGCGACTGAGATGGAAGAAGATGTTATCCTCTCTGCTCAAAAACTCTCGGGCAGCCTGTAGCCAGCCAGACCTTCCCCAGGACGGCCAGGACACTCAGAGCCACAAGTCTGCCTCCGTTCTTCCCGGAGATTCGATCCACCCTGAGCACCAGGAGCCGCCCAAGCAACATATTCAAAGGAGTTTTATCCCCAGTAAAGACCAGTTAGGCCCTCCCAGCAAATCCCAAGTACCTGGGGAACCGATGCAGCCTCAGGGTGAATTCCCAGGGAGGGGTCAGACTGGGGCAGAAGATAAGTATGGGGCATTTGCAGGTGAAAGCAGCAAGGGTGAACAGAAGATGGGGTCTAGACATTCTGACAGATTCTCTCAGGCGAGTTCCTTAAGTGTCAAAGAAGACAAGGACCCATACAGGAACCTATGGCAAGATCTGAAGGGTTTCCCGGAAGAGCCATATATAGATTTAAGAAATACCTTGGTGAAAGTTCTGGAGGATAAGAAGGAGGAGGAGGAGTCAGATATTGACTGGATTAGGCTCCAGAGGTATAAATCAGGAAATTACCTATCCAGGGGCCCAAAGAAGCAGCAGGTTGAAAAAACCCTGAATTTCCAATTGGACCAGAAGTTGGGGGACATCAACAAAGGCATGGTCCCTGATCAGTCCAGGATCACTACCAGCCGTGTCATTCCCAAGTCTGACACCTACCGTAAGCCCAGAAATCTAGCATCCTTGAGGGCTCAGAAATACCCTGTGAACACCTCCCAAGAGCTTTTTTTCCTCGATCCCGGCACTCAACAGATGCTAGAAGCACATATTATAAGGTTTCGTGTGAGGCACAGGTGGGGGTCAAACCTCCAGTCCCTGGAGCGCATAAATCTCCAGGCTCAATCCCCACCCTTTCCACTCCCCAACCTTCCCTCCTGGGCCACTGGTGAATTTGGAGATGACTCCATGGATGAATTTGCCAATTTACTGGGAGGACATCCTTGGAAACGTCCAGGACAGAAGGTGATAACAAAAAAATCAGTCCTCACCCTGACTGGTTTTCTCTCTGCCCCCTCACCTGTGAGTGAGGAGGTCCAGAGGGACCTGAAAGGTGAGCAGGCTGGTGACAATCGTGGACACTCAGAGGCCTCTCCCACTAGACAGGAAGGCAGGTGGCCTTCTCAGCCCCTCACATGTAGCATGGTAAGCAGAACCTGGGAGAGTAGTACTGTCCTGGGGGCCAGGAGAGGCAGCCAAGAGCCAAGTGCAAGTCTAGCAATGGCCAGGCATGATCCACGGGAGGAGGTGGAGGGCATGGCCTCAGGAGTCCCCTGCAGTAGCATAGCAATGCTGGGGCTCAGTGTAGGGTCCCAATCTTCAAGGGCAGAGAAGACTATGGAGCCAGTGGAGGGCAGGGAGGAAAAGCCCCCTGCTTGGGAAGTCATTCTGGGAGCCAGTGTGACAGCAGACTCCCAAACTATTAATATGAATCTGGGTTCAGGGTCTCTGGGGACTAGTGAAAGTTCCCCTTTCTCTAGAATGTCTGGTACCCAGGATCCAGGAGAGCTACGCCTCAAAACAAAGGTTGTGAGTAAGTTTTCATTCAAAGTGGAGGTAGAATCAGAGGACCAGCTTCAAGGCCCTGCCACTGGTGTCCTCCTCCAAGACTGTGCCACTGGCCTGCATGTTCGAGGCCGTCACACCGACATACTCCCCACAGCAGACATGTCGGTTTCTCAGGAACCTCAGTCCAGTTCCCAGACCCCTCTGTCTGGTACCCAGAGTGTGCCCAGTAAGGACGCATCAACTTCTCAGGGGCTACATGACCCCACTTGGCATGGAGGGAGCAGCCAGGGGCAGCAAGAGCCCAGGAGCCCAAAAGTGAGGGGCTCCTGGAAGACTCAGAGCAATATGCTTGGCCCTACTGACAAGAGAGAGAGCTGTAGGAGGCCGAAACCAAGGGAGCATGAACCAAGGTCTGCAGGACCAAGGCCCTTCCAATCCAGTGGGATGAGTCACCCTGCTCAGGTCAGGGAAAGAGAAATCCTTGGGAACAAATACTCTCAGTTCCCACAAGAGAAGGGACAGGCACCTCCAGAAAGCCACTTCGGAAAAAGGATCAATCGTTTTCTGCAGCATCTCAAGCTCAGTAAGAAGGGCAAAGAGCAGGAAGATTCCCTGCAGAAAGGCAAGCCTGTGCCAGCCACTGCCCAGAGCCCAGGGCCAGCCACAAGGTCACCTATGAACAGCAGGGCTCCTGAGGTCCGGGCAGTCATTACACTTGTCGGACAGATTTTAGTGGAAAAACTGGGGCTGAGGCAAGGACATGGTCCCCCCCCAGAGTTTGCTTTCCACAAACAGGAACCCCGGGCCCCAATGGATGGGCGTTTCTACTACCCCAAAGGTCCCTGCCACCCAGGGTCAAGGAGAGTGATGAGAGATGTAGCCTCCAGTCATGCCACCCCCATGGGCCACAGCTATCTTGTCAAGAACAAGTGGGTCAGAGGGAAGGACAGCAACTGGGCCTCCCCACCCAGGGAGCCTGTGCTCCCAGCCAGTCCCTGGCAGCGTGGGCCAAGGGTGGCAAGAGCCTCAGGCCACCTTCACCGTTAGACAACACCCTTGTCTGTCTGGTCAACAAGATCCTGCCTTTGATGCCTTTCCTGATGGGAATATTTTCTCACAGAATAAATTTTGTTTAGGCAGAGAAAACCTGTTTTGCTTCATGTTAGCACATCTGCTATATGCTAATGGCTTCTTCTTATCAAGAACATGGGCCAAATGATGTGTTTTTCTCATCAGAAGTGGTGGCTTCTGTCTGGGATGCTGGGGCGCAGGGAAAGGGTGAGCTTTTGCTCTCCCTGGGTGTGGCTTCTAGACAGGACAGGCATGGGGAGGCTGATAGGGGCTGGCAGACCCACCCTCACCCCAGAGTCCCTCACTGCACCTTCTCTTCATAACTCAGTCATTACAGGGAGTCTTCAGGGCTGTCAGGACTGGCAAACCCTGTGGAGACGCCCCCCACAACCCCGGGATCTGACTCACACTGTCTCTGCCCAGGCTTTCCCTCTACATGAACTTTGTGCAGTGGTGGGGGATGGGTTTACAGAGGCCTCTAAGTGGAGAAATTCCCTCAGGCTCCAGTAATGTGGGAGCCAAGCAGCCTCACACTGCCTGAAGTGGGCCAGGGAGTTTCAGGGTGGGGGTGCTGGCCCTGGGTGCAGGGTCAGAGATATCTGGCCCCCGTGACTCACCTGGTGAGAAACAGACCATCCTGCCTGAAGCCTCCTCACTGCCTGCTGCAGGATTGGAGAGGCAGCCCAGAACCAACTCTAAGGGATGGTCCCTGCTGGCCCCTCTGGGCTCAGCCTTGGTGACAGGAGCCTGTCCCTCCCATCCTCCACCTTCTTCCTTTTGAGAGCAGTGGCCAAGACAGGGCCAGTATGGGTGGGCACATAAGTATGTGCCAGGGCCTTGTATGCCCTCCTGGCCACCTGCTTTCCCCTCTGGTATGACCAGAATGGGGAACCATCTGATGGTGGCACACAGAGGATGAGGGTGGACTGTGGGAGAAGAATTGAAGAGGTGGCAACAAGGAAGATGGCAGAGCTCACCTGGCACCCTAAACAGTGACTGCCTAGTGTACCCATAGGCCAGGGGAGTCAGGCAGCAGCTCCATGGTGGAGGGCTAGACCAAGGGGCACAAAGCCTTTGTAGGAAGGTGGCTTTTCTCATTGCATATGTGACCAGCCTGTGTACCATCACCTCTGGAATTCCAGAGAGGACTGGCAGAAAAGACAGTACTGAGGTGCCTGTGGTATCACAGTCTGGTAACTTTCACAGACATATGGCCTGAAGGCTGCTTCCAGAGCTGGAAGACTTGGAGGACCAGTGCATGTGCCTGGGCTGCTCCTGGAGCCTGTCTCATGTTGGCTGGGGACAGGGAAGCCACCAAGGGCATAGCAGCAAGGGGGGCCAGGGCCTGGGAAGGCTGGAGCTGAGCAGTGACCTTACAGAGAGACCCCCACCGAGACCTCTGACAAAGACCCCCACAGGGACCCCAAGAGACCTCTGACAGAGATCCCCACAGACAGACTCCTCACAAAGATGGCAGAGACATTGACAGAGACCCACAATGAGAGACCCCCAGAGAGAAGTGTGACAGACATGCCCATAGAGAACTCTGACAGAGACACCTATAGAGACCTCTAACAGACTCCAAAAGAGACCTCTGACAGAGACCTGTGCTAAGAGACTGCCACAGACACCTCTGACAGTGACCCCAACTGGGAAACCCTCACAGAGACCCCTCACAGAGACCTTGGAAAGAGATCCCCACACAGAGCCCTGACAGACCTCCATCGGGACCTCTGACAGAGACTTCACAGAGACTCACACAGAGACCTCTGACAGAGATACAGAGTGACAGACCCCCACAGAGACCTCTGACAGTGGCCAATACAGAGAATTCTCACAAAGATTCTTATTGAGAACTCTGATAGTGACACAGAGATGATATCAGAGACTTACCAAGAACTCTATTAGATACCCAAATTGAGAACTCTGACAGAGATAGCTACAGAGACTCCCCGAGACCTCTGACCAAGAATCCACAACAGACCTCTGACAGAGATCCCAACAGAGAATTTTGACAATCACAGTGAAAAACTCCCACAAGGACCTATGACAAAGAAAGACCCTGAAAGACTGCCACAGAGAGCTCTGACACAGACCTCGCACTGAGAACCTTCCAGAGACTTCTGTCAGAGACTCCCACAGAGATCTCCAGAGAGACCTCTGACAGAGCCCCACAGAGACATCCAGAGACCTCTAATAGACATTCACACAAAGACTTGCAGAGACCTCTGACAGAGACCCACCTAAGAAACCCTCATAGAAATCTCTGAGAGAGACCCAAATGGAGACCTCTGACAGTGACTCAAACTTAGGGACCCCAGAGACACCTTTGACAGATACCCTCATAGGTGCCTCTGACACCCCACACAGAGACCTCTGACAGAAACCCACATGGAGAACTCTTACAGAGACCCACACAGAGATCTCTGACAGAGACCCTGTGGGGAGGGGGCTCTGCAGCCAGCGAAGGTACCGGAACAGGTTTCTGGGAATTGAAAGAAGAGACAAGGCCGGGCGCGGTGGCCTGTAATCCTAGCTCTCTGGGAGGCCGAGGCGGGAGGATTGCTCGAGGTCAGGAGTTCAAAACCAGCCTGAGCAAGAGTGAGACCCCGTCTCTACTATAAATAGAAAGAAATTAATTGGCCAACTAATATATATAGAAAAAATTAGCCGGGCATGGTGGCACATGCCTGTAGTCCCACCCACTTGGGAGGCTGAGGCAGAAGGATTGCTTGAGCCCAGGAGTTTGAGGTTGCTGTGAGCTAGGCTAACGCCATGGCACTCACTCTAGCCTAGGCAACAAAGCGAGACTCTGTCTCAAAAAAAAAAAAAAAAAAAAAGAAAGAAGAGACAAGTAGCAGCGGGTGGAGAAAACATGTTCTTTTATTGCCGGGGGATGTAGCCCACAGCAAGAATATGGCGCGTGCTTATATATGGCTCAGAACAATCATGGCAACATGTCAAGCAAAGGTGTGATCACATGGTTCACATAGGAGGTGATATCATGGTTTTATAACCATGCTGACTTACGCCTTATCAGAAGAGAAGGCCGGCAGAAGACACGCAGCAATCATTTTAGTTTGGCCTAAGAAACCTATTGCCTATACAAATGGATTTCCCTTACAGACCCACACTGTGATTCCTCCACATAGACTTCTGACAGACACTCCCACAGAGAAGCCTGACAGGGATCCCCACATAGACTTCTGACAGACACTCCCACAGAGAAGACTGACAGGGATCCCCACATAGACTTCTGACAGAGACCTACAGAGACCTCTGACAGAGACTCATACTGAGACACTCCACATCCTCTGTCAGAGACCAACACTGAGAGATCTTCCACTGAGGCCTCTGACAGAGATCTTGTATCCATCCTTAGGATCCTGACCAGCCACCCGGTGACAGGTCCTTCTTCATGGCTCTGACAGCACTTGGCAAACTGGCAGCACAGGAGAGAATCTCAGAGATTTGCCCTGCTCCCTGGAGAGAATGCTTGTGTATTTTTTTTCTTTTCTGATGTTATTACTTTTCTTTCTTCTGAAAAAAAATCACAGATTGAACATGTAAATCTGGAAAATCTTTTCCGTCACAAAATTTCATTAGCTTGAGTTCTGACCCACAGTTTAGAAAAATTCCAAACTTTGAAAACAAGCAAAACTCTGTCGCAATCTAGTGAGGGAAAAAATATCTTCTTGGCCTACTTTTAGTAATCATCCAGTCAAATGGCATTAGGAGCCACATTATTTTATTGGGCAAAAGTCCCTGCACTCAAAATGACTGATTTTACTCTAGAAACATGAAGAAGAGAGCCCTCGGCAAATGGACTCCAGAGGAGATAAACCTGCAAAGATGCATTTGCCTCCATTCGCTCCCGTGGGGCTGTGCAGCTAGCATGTTGTTTTGCACATAACAGCTTGTGTCAGGTTTGTGAAGTTTGCCTTATTTTTAAAATGAAACAAGCCACATTAGCAAGCATATGAAGCTTTTTCATAAATAAGACATATTTCTAGCACTATTTCTATTAGACCTTCTAACAATTGATAGTAAATATTAAATAATTAACTGACATTGTTTATTTTTGCTCCTTAAAATGTGACAGTGATTGGTACTTAGATGGTACTACACATGCGTGTGGTAACAGAATATGATGAAATCCTAATCCTAATGTTCAGCTAACTCATCTTAAACTGCTGAACTATTTAGAAGATAGTCATTTTTAAAATAATTCCAAGAAATACACATTTCCCAAGATTCAGGCAGTCAGACTCTGTTTGATATTCATTACAGGGTGACAAAAAGGACACATTGATTAAAATAATTTTGAAGTCCTAGAAAATATATAATTGAATTTGTCCTTGAGATATAATTGTCTCAATTAAATTACTTGGGAATTGACATTTTAACATTTGTTAAATTAAAATATATATATATTTAACTAAGATTTTTATGATAGTAATGATAAAGTTCTCACTATATCCCTAATACTTGTCAAATTGTGCACTTAGTTGAGATTATATATTTCTCACTGTTCATAAGAATCCTGTTACCTTAAGATAAAAACAGATGTCAAGCGTCTATCTCTAATGAAGTGTCTTAGATTACTCATTGGGATGACAGGGTCATGGTCCCTTCTCTAAGAAAATAGGATTGAGCTAATGGGAGGGCTCTGAGGTTGTATATCTATTTTTTAAATTAAGAATAACACAGTCAGATAGTAATACATCTTACAAAATTGTAGCTATTAGCTTTTTGAAATTTGCTCCCTGTGTGAGATTTTCTTTCTCTCTCTCTCTTCCTTCCTTCCTTCCTTCCTTCCTTCCTTCCTTCCTTCCTTCCTTCCTTCCTTCCTTCCTTCTTTTTTTTTTTTTTTTTTCCAGAGTCTGTCTCTGTAGCCTTGGCTAGAGTTCAGTGGCCAGAGTGCCATAGCATTAGCCTAGCTCACGGCAACCTCAAACTCCTGGGCTCAAGTGATCTTCCTGCCTCAGCCTCCTGAATAGCTAGGACTACCAGCATGTGCCACTGTTCCTGACTAATTTTTTCTATTTTTAGTTGTTTGGCTAATTTTCTTTCTA